CTAACTAACTAACTAACTAACTAACTAACTAACTGACTGACTGACTGACTGACTGACTGACTGACTGACTGACTGACTAACTAACTGACTGACTAAATGACTGACTAACTAACTAACTGACTGACTGACTGACTGACTGACTGACTGACTGACTGACTGACTGACTGACTGACTGACTAACTAATTAACTGACTAACTAACTAACTAAGTGACCTGATAATAACAGCAGTAAACAGGAGTCAAACCAAAGACAGGACATGTTGAGAGTTTCGGTCACACATTGAACCCAGACCCTCCAGGTGAAACAGACACGCAGGTAGAACTCGTGTGTTCAGGTGTGTGCGTTGGCCCTGACCTGTTAGCTGCTTGTCACCAGCTGCCGGGGCGATGCGGATATACGGCGTGGTGAGCTGAGTGACGATTATGGCAGCTGTTCATCCAGGAGGCATGCAGACAGACAGACAGGCAGCAGACAGAGAGAGAGACAGGCTGAAGCAGAATATTAGTGTGCTCTCCTGAAGCTTCAACCTTCAGAACCACAGGAAGGCTCAGTATAAAGCAGCTGTGCTCAGGTGGACCCGTCCAGAACCAGCCTGAGCTCACTAACTGACCTTCATGTAGGCAGATCAAAGGTTTGATTTAAGGAGGTAAAAACTGTTTTCCTCAGCTGCGTTATAATGATTTTCTCTGACAGCTGAAGCTTCATCATGTTTCTGACAGGACAGCTCAGAACGGCTCAGGTAAACAGGAAGTAGTTTAGTTTGTGAAACACACCTGGAAGAAAATCAGCCAATCACTGATCAGACATTAGTAATCAATCATTTTAGTCATTAATAGTTCAGCAGACAGAAAGAGGAGGCTGTGCAGGAGGCCATCACTTCATGTAACACTGATGGCTGGTGTAACATCAGATACAGATTTAACTGTGACATTAAACCAGAGACCAACAGACACAGGTTTCACTCTGACTTCAGTTAGAACTCTAAACTCTCCTTCAGTCCACTTCAGGGACATCCTGCTGGGTTTCACACTGAATTAATGCTCAGAAACAGGTTTCACTCTGACTTCAGTTAGAACTCTAAACTCTCCTTCAGTCCACTTCAGGGACATCCTGCTGGACTTCCTGCTGCTCTGAAGCAGAACTCTTCCTCGGTGGATTCAGGTCTAAAACCTCTCAGAGTTCCCTTTCAGTCAATTCACTCGGTACAACATCATGTGTGGGAAACCACGCCCCTGCGTGTCCTGGCTGAAGCCACCTCTAATCACRCCTTTAGGCAGGTGACGTGATGACGACAGATGTCAGGCTCCGCCTACACACATATATATACTGTCACCATTACAGTCACTCCTTAGTTTTATTGCTCTTCACCTCGCTAGAGCCCCACCTCTTCCAACCTAGCTAGTTAGCTGTTGCTAGTTAGCTTTGTTTGTTGGAAGGCTCTTAAAGTTAGCTTAACTGCTTTTGTTGGTGTCAGCCGCCGCTGCCTACAGGTAAGTGTGTCCGCCCGTGGAGCGCTAGCTTTGAGTAGCCTTTCATTCAAATAAACAGAATATTTTGTGGTTCGGGATGAGCGCAAAATTACCTGAAGGAGCAGAGGTCGTCGGTCGGCCCTGTGGGCGTGGCTTCTTGCTCCATGACAGGGACCAGCACGAGTCTTGCCCTGTCTGTCTGGGGGTCGTTCACACTCAGAGAGCTTTGGTGGAGCCTGAAGCATGTGCGTTTCACCGCCAGCTTCGTGGCTCAACCCTGGAGGGACGGGTTAAGTCC